AAATCAAAATCTTAAAATAATACCTACCTTGTAATTAGAAATAGCTAAACTAACATTGCATCAACATGCATTCATTGTCATTCCTTTGGATCATGATCAAAAAAATAAATGGTCTATGATATCAGTTTGATATGCTGCCAAAATTAAACTCAATGCAATAACAATAGGAAAATTTAGGAAACTTATATGGAATTATAATTTTCACATATATACAAATTATATTTATTCGAAATTCAACAATTTATATAATCGTCTAAATGATTTTTATTCGTGCAGTTTTAATATTCTGGTTTTATTAAATTTAAATATATTATTTTTCTTATTATTATTTGTAATCATTTCAGGTCATTGCCAGGATACGCCGAAGTACAACTATATCATGGACAGTCCATAATTCAATTGTTAGAAAACTTAGAATTAATAGAACGTATTCATCCATTACATGATAAAGAAAATTTAAAGAAACTTGGAAAAGAATGGTATTGGGCATTATTGAAAAGGCCACCAATTGGTAAATTATTTTAATTATAGATATTTATGGTGAATAGTATTTGATTAATAGATTTACATGTGGAATATTATTAATTAGAGCAATAGAGTTGCATACATCTTCAGGCTTATTTAATACTCATACTGACGCAATTTTTATTCATTTATTATAGTCAATCAGTATAATTCATACTTTTATTTTTTTTCGCGTATAAATCAATGTTACTAACTATAATTATGACTTTTATCCTTTTTTAGCCGAAATCAGAGAGTATTTTGGAGAAGCTGTTGCTCTTTATTTCAATTTTCTGGGCTTTTACACCACCGCCTTAATAATACCAATGACTTTAGGATTTCTACAGCTGATTGTATCTCAAGAAACCCTGGCATTCTTTTGCGTTTTTAATGTTATTTGGGTCACTGTATTTTTAGAGGTATTTTTATTATTTTTTAGTTAACAAAATATGTAATAAACACTTAAAAATAATACTTGTGAAATAATTAAACAAATTGAAACATATAATAAAACTAGAAGAAAACCTATAAAAGTTTATTGTAATATGCCAGAAGTTTATCATTTATATTACCTATATTTATTTTTTAAAGACTAATAACACCAATTGTTTTGTTGATAAAATGAACGATATCATCGTTAAATTTTTTACCACTTACTTTATTTTAATTTTTCATGGTGTGATTACTCATAAGAACAAAATAGTTGAGCAAATATAAATCATAAGTCGAGACTTAGCTAATAGGCATAGATAAATTAAGAACAATTTGGATTTATTTATTTCTTATTATTATTTGTAATTAATTGATATGTATTTCTGACATCTTAGTTATGGAAAAGAAGATGTAGTGAGCTGGCTTTTGACTGGGGCACAATTAATATGACAAGCCTTGATGAACCACGTCCGAACTATCATGGAACAATGGGAATAGATGCTGTTAGTGGAAAGTTCAGCCACAGTACCCTAGATGGAAACTAATATTAAGGTAATATTATATTTATTAATTAACTTTTACATGACAAATAACAAAATATCTAGTGTTACTATTTATTTTGGTATTTAAATTCATTTGCATACTTATACATAAAATAATTTTAGAATTGAATTGATATTTAGTCCTTTGATCTTTTTATTTCATATCTTATAAAAATGTACAGAGGAAAAATTAAAGTTACATTGTCTATATTGATTTACTTAGAGGTTGATGATGTAGTAAAATAAATATGCATATACATGTTTCAAATAGTATAAATATACACATAAAAAGAATGAGTAAGTTATCTCATATCCAGAAACCTTACATTATTAATAAGAACAGAAAACAAAATTATATTTCGGTCGAATAGTTCTACTCACGCATGGTATTTTTAGGTTTATTTTTTTGTATGCTTTTTTTATCGATAATCTTCTGAATTATAATCAAATCAAACACTTGAAATTGTGTCATACATGTTACGCTTATGAACCGATTAGAATAAAAAAACATTCAACTCCTATTGATAAAGAGATGTGCTAACGTTTTTGGTCAAGGCGGCCCAGCCGTTTCGAAGATACGGGTAAAAAATGACAAAAAATGGTTATTTATTTGCATTAATAAAATTAAAATCTGAATAAATTTTTGAAAGACGGGTTGAGCGATTTCGGAGATCAAGTGAAAAACTAAAAAAAATGGCATTTGGGGGTCAAAAATAATCATTAGGCATATGCCCACCAAATTATCTGATATTATAGTCCAGTCATTTACGCTTAAATTAGGTAAGAATCTCGGAATTTGAGTAGTTGTAAGGCTGTAAATACTTGTATATTGACACTAAGAAGTTGTCCATATGGTAAGGAGTACGTAAGTTGTCTCAAAAACCTACATATGGTAGGTACACCCTACCATTTGTAGGGTGAACACCTTGTATATTGACACTTTTAGTGTCAATATACAAGTATTTACAGACTTACAGCTGGGTATCTCGAATTCCGAGGTGAACTTACTATAATGACTGGACTACTAATAAAATTTCAACATAAGTACGAAATCTATAAGGCTGCAATGCGGCGCCTAGGGGCATTAATATTTTTGTCTATTAAAA